CTCCTGAGCTGGGCTAGCCTCCTGAGCTGGGCTAGCCTCCTGAGCTGTGAGCTGCAATAAGATGCTCTTATTGGATTATTCTATCACAGCAATGGGCTGGGGGAGGGGAATTAAAACACGAGGTGTCTCCTAGGTCATAGGCCCATCTTTAAAAGTTGAGCTACTAGTTCTCTTGTTTTTATATTTAGATAAGCCTTTTACTGGACATACCTTTTGCAAACAATTTACCCCAGTCTGTAGCTTGTCATTTCATTGTTTTGACAATGTCTGTGAAAGACAGATATTAAAATGTCCGTGACTTTCCACTTCATCTTTGGCCTTTGGCTCCACGTCTAAAAAGTCACTGTCAGTCCCAGGGTCACTAGGGAGCTCCGACCTTATCCGCTATGGTTTTAGAGTTTTGCATTGTACATTTAGGGTGGTGGATGGTGGCCCCTGCAGTTTTTATCTCTGTTCATCCACGCTGCCCCAGCAGCTCATCAGCAATGGAGCAGGGTCTCCAGCGGCACCCAGAGCTGCTGTCTCTGGCTTTCCACTTCAGGAGATTGGTTCCCTGTCTCTGCTCACCTTTTCCGTTGGGAGGCTGCCACCTGCTCCATGGCTTCAGTCCTCACAGTTCTGAGAAGAGTCGTTGATGTTTCAGTGTGTTCAGACTTTTGCTGCTAGGGCAAGATGGTGGCTGTGGGTCTCTTACCTGATGACCTGGAAACCAGAAGTTGCAGATTAGTCTGGTTTTATTTTTTTTTAAATCTAAAGTCCTTCCATAATTCTCAAACACGCAGAGACACACAGACACAGTGGCTCTCTGGTCAGTGCAGGGGCTCTTCGGTTGGCCACTGTCCCAGTCGCTCAGGATTCCTGTACATGTTATGTTTGCCTGTTTCACTTTTTTTCATAGTTTTCCAAGACAGGGTTTCTATGTGTAGCCCTGGCTGTCCTGGAATTTGCTTCAAACTCAGACTCACAGAGATCCACCTGCCTCTGTTCCCTGAATGCTGGAATTAAAGGCGTGTGCATTTCTTTTTTTAATTAATTTATTTTACATGCATTGGTGCTTTGCCTCCATGTGTATCTGTGTGAGGGTGTTGGATCCACTAGAAATGGGGTTACAGACAACTGTGAGCTGTCATGTGGGTGCTGGGAATTGAACCTGGGTCCTCTGGAAGAGCAGCCAGTGCTCTAACTGCCGAGCCATCTCTCCAGCCCCAGCATGTTCCTTTCTTAAGTGACACAGATCTAATGAGAAGGCTTAGACTAGATGACCCTCACCCTCTGTTGGAAGGGAAGTTTCCCCGGGAGTTTTTGGCACAGTGTTTTTCTGGTGGTGATGCCCGCCTCTTGCTCCTCTCTTCTTTCTCCCTCGTCCTCCTCCCTTCTTCCCCCCATTTCTCCCTTCCTCTCCTTTCCTGTAAGTACTCTTTGCGTTTTTGGTCTGCCTAACCCTAACCCAGGCCCTCGACCTGTCATTTCACTCCACTTGCTCACCCTTCTTCCTACCATGGCGTCTTGCTTTTTGCCACGTGTCTCTAACCTCATGATCTGCCTCCAGATTTTTTCTCCATGATCACCCCAGCTTTCCCAGTATCAGCTTCTGAGGACTCCAGCTCTTGTGTCATTCTTTCTCTTGCATTTATTTTTTTTTGAGGGGGTTCAAGACAGGGTTTCTCTATAGCTTTGGAGCCTGTACTGGAACAAGCTCTTGTAGACCAGACTGGCTGGCCTCAGACTTACAGAGATCCATCTGCCTCTGCCTCCCAAGTGCTGGGATTAAAGGCGTGTGCCACCACCACCCAGTTGTTGCATTTAATTTAAAATTTTTTTTTCCTTTGAGATAGGTTCTCATCATCAGGAGACCCAGTGTTCAGGAGGCAGAGGCAGGTGACTCCACATGAGTTTGAGGCAGCCTGGTCTACAGAGCGAGTTCCAGGACAGCCAGGGCTACACGGGGAAACCCTGTCTTGGGGGAAAAAAAGAGAATGAGAGAGTCTCACCATGTAGCACTTGATGAATCAGAACTCACTATGTAGACCAGGCCACCTCCAACTCGCAGAGATCCCTTTTTCTCTGTTTATAGAGTGCTGGAATTAAAAGTGTATCAACACACCTGGCTTATGTTTTAAAAAGTTTAAATAGCTGAGTAATACACAGTTTTATAATACACAGACTATTTATTAGTGAAAAGTGAAAGCCATCCTTTTCTTGCCAATTTTCCTCCCTAGAGGTACCCATTGCTATTTCTATGCCATGGAGACTTCCAGAACTTTTATAGGTTATTTTCATGGGCACTACATTCCTCTGGGATATATATATATATATATATATATATATATATATATATATATATGCTATAAATGCTCTCTCACTGGCTGCTTTGCTTTTGTCTTACTAATTGATTTATTTTTCAGAACAAATGCCTCTCGGGAACTCTTTTCAGCCAGTACTATTGGCCTGCCCATTATTTTAGTGGCCTCATGGTATTCCAAAGGTTGGATTGAGCATAATCAATTTATTCTCCAATGATAAATATCTCAATGGTATTTATTTTATTTATTTATTATGTTTGCAGTGTTTTGCGTGCATGTTTGCCTGCATGCCAGAAGAGGCACCAAATCTCATTATAGGTGATTGTGAACCACCATGTAGTTTCTGGGAATTTAACTTAGGATCTCTGCAAGAGCAACCAGTGCTCTTAACCTCTGAGCCACCTCTCCAGCCCCTTAATGGTATTTGAAAACATTTTTATTGATGTGTGTGTCTGTGTGAACATATGCCATGTGTGTGCAGGTGCCCACAGAGGCCGGAAGAGGACTTCGAACCCTCTGCAGCTGGAATTACAGGCAGCTGTGAGAGCCTGTCTGGGTGCAGGGATCTAAACCCGGTCCTCTGGAAGGGCTCTTAACTGCTGAGCATCTCTGCAGCCCCTCTCAAGCATTTGAGTGTAGTGAACATTCAAGAGTAGTGAACATTTGAGTGTAGGGAGCATTTGAGTGTAGTGAACGTTCGAGCATAGTGAGCATATAAATGTTTCTGTGCCTTAATCTAGTCTGCTTCTTGTTGCTGTGATAAAACACTTACCAAAAGCAAGTGGTTGGGAGAGGATTTATTTCCTCTTACAGCTACAGTCCATCACAGACACTCAAGGCAGGACCTGGAGACAGGAAATGGAGCTACTTACTGACTGGCTCTTCATGGCTCACTCAGCTGCCTGGCTGACTGCCTGACTTACTTCCTTTAGATTTATCTTATTTTATATGTATGACTGTTTGCCTGCATGTATGTATGTGTGCCATGTGTGGCTGGTGCCCTCAGAGGCCAGGAAAGGATATTGGGTCCCCTGAAACTGGAATTATGGTTGTGAGTCTCCATGCAGTTGCTGGGAATTGAACCTGGGTCCTCTGGAAGAGCAACAAGTTTTCTAAAGCACAGAGCCATCTCTCCAGCTCAGTTTGCCTTCTTATACAACCCAGAACCACCTGCCAAGGGTGGCACTGCCCACATCAATCATTAATCAGGAAAATGCCCCCACAGACTTGCCCATAGGCCAATCTGATGGAGGCAATTCCTCGCTGAGGGTCCCTCTTCCCAGATGATTCTAGTTTGTGTCAAGATGACAAAAACAAAACAAAACAAAACAACAACAACAACAACAACAACAACAAAAACCAACCACCACAGGCTCATCTGCAGAATAAAGCCCTAGAAGTAAAGTTTCTCAGTGGAATGAGTATGGTCAGAGAGAGAGGGGGAGAGAATGTGAGTACATAGATGCTTGCCATGGCGCACATACGGAGGACAGAGGACAGCTCGTGGGAGTCAGTTCTCCTTCCACCGTGTGGGTCCCAGGAATCAAACTAAGGTCATCTTGCTGGTCCCAATTTTCTTCTCATACAAGCGAAGCCATTCTTTGTCACATGAAGAGGTTGGGCCTGCTTGTTTGTGGGTTTTTCTGTCCTCCCACCAGGTCCCCACAATTATTTAGTCCCAGAGAAAATCACCCACACAGGACTCCGTAAGTTATAATGCTGATTGGCCCAGTAGGTCAGGTTTCCCACTGGCTAACTCTCATATCTTGATTAACCCATTTTTCTGATCTATTTTAGCCATGTGGCTCAATACCTTTTTCAGTGGGGCAGCTCACATCCTGCTGCTTCGGTGATCTGGGCAGGAGTGGGAGGAATCAACTTCCTCCTCCCCAGAATTCTCCTGCTCTCCTTGCATCATTCCCACTTCCTGTCTGGCTTTCCCGCCTACACCTCCTGCCTGGCCAATCAGCGTTTATTTAAAACATGATTGACAGAACACAGACAATTCTCCCCCACCAATTCTTTATGAATGGGGGGGGAGCGCTCGTGGCCCACATCTGAGCTGGGATTGGAATCAAGTTGTGAATAGCAGTAGGATGCACGGACACGCTCTCTGGATGATTCTGTGAAGGCATGTATTTCTGTGGGGAGGGTAGCACTGGGTGTGTGAGCTTTTCAGTCAGAACGCCAGACAGGAGGGAATGAGCCTCAACATCTGGTAAGAGGCCCCACAATAATCCACCTATCTGAGAGCATCCATAGGGATCGGATGAGCTGTATGTAACACATGCCTGACCTAGCTGGGACTTAGAGGAACCCCTGGTCACAGCAGAGACCGAGTATGTGAGTGCACAGATCTGTCTGCTGTTACCTTTATGCACCAGGCTTGACTGTGAGGTCACGTCTAGCATCCTGGAACCCATTCTTCTGGGCGACACATCCAGCACTTCCATAGCGAACTCTATCCAAGCACAGCTAGCCCCTTAGCTGACAAGCAATACATTGTGGGGGCACTGACATTCCCTTTTCTTTCTTTGTCTAAGGTGAGGGTGGGGAGCATCAGAGATACAGTGGGCCCGGGTGAGAGGTCAATGGTGACTGACTGATGACAAGGTTAGCTCCTAGTAAGCCTGTTTGACAGCTCTGGGCTGTGTGCAAAATGCACCAAATACTTTCTCCTGGGTCCTTACATGGAAGGTAGGTGTGGTTATTACCTTCTTATGGAAAGATCGCACATATGTACTTGTGGATTGCAGTCAGAGCCCTGCTCTGCATCCTGTGCTCCCAGAAGTGGAGCCAGGGGGACAGCGTGATGCAAGGGTGCTGGGATGAGATCTGTATTGATGACATACAGTGGGGCCATGTCAGTGACACCAATGGCCCGAGGTCCCTACCACCCAGGGGCAGAGAAGAGGTACTTAGCTACATACTCTGTTTCAGGCTTTTGGATGCCAGTAAGGATAAAGCTCCAATTCCTGACCCCTGACCCCTTCCCTGGATTTACATCAATCTCTAATGCCCTGTTTTTTTCTTCTTCTTCTGGTTTTTGAAGGCAATTGAGGAATATGAGTTGGAGAAGAAGTCTTTAAAAGAGAAAACTCACGGCAGCCTGGGAGACAAAGGCAAAAAATCCTTTCTCAGTCTGAAAAGTGCTTTTGTGGGGTTTGGTTTTTTATTCTCTTAAGTTTAGATTCTTTTCAGCATTTTTGTTTCATGCTAGCACGGATCGCAGGGCCTTGCACATGCCAAGCACATGCCCTGCCACTGAGAAAAACCCGTTATTATTTTTTTTTAGTCTTTGAAATGTAGTTGAGTTAGAATCCAGAGTTCTACCTGAGAATGGCTTTTGTCCTCTTCTGTGGCAGCCTTCCATCAGACCTGACACTGGACAAGGAAGGAGGGAGGGACAGGATCATGCCGGGCTATCTGCTAGGTGACATTGCACCAGGTGCTTTGATCTCTGCTTCTTTATAAAGCCCCACCTGGTGGTCACACACACCCACACCCACACACACACACACACACGAGAGTCCTGCTGGGGAGGAGATTGCCTGGTGCACAGAGTCCCTGCTGCTTCTGAACAGACAAGCCAGCCCAGCAGTCTGTCCGTCACCAGGCAGCCCTGTCTGTCCGTCACCAGGCAGCCCTCTGCAGCAGTCTTAGCTCCCAGTAGCAGGTGCAGCCACTGCTCCTCATATCTAACTTTCTCCTCCATTCTCAGCCAGGCGACCAAAGGAAGAGTCACCGATATCCTGCAAAGGCTCAGAGCTCCGGAATGCCAAGGTGGTCCTGACAAAAAGGGTAAGAGCCCAGCGCCATGTTGCTTTACCAGTAGTTTCTACCATGAACAAAATGGGTTTTATTCTTCGGGAAGGAAGATTTGGTGCCTAGTGACTCACAGAGAAAGACAGGGTTCACTTTTTCAAAGATCTGGCAATACTTTAATTCTAGAATTGCTCATGTCACTCTTGAAAGGGCAGACCTGAACCCAGCCTCTGCAGTTAGAGTGTCCTAGAGCCCTGTGTTTGTTACTGTTAGAGCGGAGGCGTCTCCGCTTAGAGAGAGTCCTCCAGTTTCACTGCGATGGCACCACACAACTCCATGTGCCTTCTACACAGGAGGGTCCCGTGCCACCACTCACCGGCCAGGCTGTTTGTAGTGATCAATGCGGATGTGCCAGGAAGCTGAGATGATGGTCCAGGGCCATGCAGCATGTCAAAGGACAGGCACAGCTCACCACTCGGCTCTCCAGCCCAAGGCCAGCCCCCTCTGTTGCCGGCAAGTCCCGTGACAGCTGTCCTTGTCAAGATTCACGGTGCAGGCTGGGGGTGCGGCTCACGGGGAGAGTGCTTGTCTAGCAGGTGCAGGCTGGGGGTGCGGCTCACGGGGAGAGTGCTTGTCTAACATGCGCAAAGCCCTGGGTTCTGTCTCCAGCACTGCAATTTTTTAATTTCAAAAAGAACCCCAAAAAGTGGTTATTTAAACTATCCAGATCACCTGTACCAAAAGCCTTAGGAAACACTGCATTATCTTTCCTGGAAAAAAATTACTATATTAATTTTGTATGTATGTGGGGGGGGTGCACATGCCATGGCACACATGTGGCGGCCTGAGCACAACTTGCAGAAGCCAGTTCTCTAGTCTACCTTGTAGCTCCCGGAGCTTGATCTCACATCATCAGACATAGTCTCTGGCATCCTCACTCTCTGACTCATTTGATTGCTCCTGTTCCCATTATCTTTTTATCACTGAGTAAATTCTGAAACAGCACAAAGCCTGGTGGTTGGGTCTGAGGTGAAATCGCCTTACATGCCATTGATGGTGTCTGAGTATAAATGTCCTGCCTGAGGTGGCATACGAGTAACTGGCCGAGTGACCTCTGATTCAGGATCAGCACAGTCATTCAGCAAGCTCTTCTCTCACTGTCCCCTCCCATGGCTAAGTTATAAAGCAAACAGCTAGCCCAGCACAGTGTATCGGCAGGTGCTGTGGGCTGATGGTAAATGCAGCCCTCATTCCACTTTTCTGCATTGTCCCATCTTTTTTTTTTTTATCAACTGTCATGTTTGCATTTGGTTATAAAAAATAATTTAATGATATATATTAAGTAATGTCATATATTGAGGCAGTTACATCCTTCGATAAATATTACTGTTTTAAGAAAATCATGCTAGCTGGGTAGTGGTGGCACATGCCTTTAATCCCAGCACTCAGGAGGCAAAGGCAAGCAGATCTCTGAGTTCAAGGCCAATCTGGTCTACAGAGTGAATTCCAGGGCAGCCAGGACTACACAGAGCAACTCTGTCTTGAAAATCTTGCTAAATAAATGACACAAAGAGGAAGAGGACTATGTGCTCTAAGATATTAATGACAATAATATTGAAAGTAATGAGGGAGAAGTCAATTAAACTGTAGCAGTTTACATGATAATTTTGAGAACAGTATACATATACATACATACATACATAAACATACACACACACACCCTGAAGAAATCTAGAATAAGGCTAGGTGTCTAAACTAGGACATAAAAGTGTGTATGTGTTGGAGAGACGGGGGAGAGGGGGGAGGGTTAACATAACTGTATTTGGAAGTCTTTGCTCAGAGCTTTAAGGAAAGCAGAGCTGATGCAGCGGGTGTTGGGGTCGGGAAGCTCTTGTTTGCTCCGTGTCTATGAGTCTGTTGCACTGTGTGTAGAGGGGGAAGGCATGTTCTTGTTTTAAATTGTCGAGATGGTGGATCCCATTTTCATAGTATGCCTTTTTTTCTCATCAGAAAAGAGCAGATAAAAATCTGCTGGCGGAGCTTCACCAACACCCCCCGTTTGATGAAACTAGGCCCAACAGGCTTCCCAATGGCGTGGACTTCTGCGATATGGTGGGCAATGTGATTCGGTCTGAGAAAAACCCCCTTAGTGGCAAGGTAAGGGAGAGAGCAGGGAGCCAGCTCACTCCAGTTGTACAGGCGTGCCTGCCGAGGTCAGAGGACTCTGCAGAAGGGACGGAACCCAGTCGTCAGTGCTGGCAGCAGGGCTTTTACATCCTGGGCTTTCTTGCCAGCCCTTGCAGTGTGTTTTGATCATGTGTGCTATTAAAAAAAAAACAACTGGAGCAAATACCTTCATAAACACGTGTCTGTCTGTGGGCCATCTGCTGTTCTCTCAGCTGCTCTGTGGCACGTCAGTCAGCCTGACTTTTATTACTTTCTAGTCAGAACAACTCTGCTTTGGGTGTGGAGTATTCCCCAACAAGGCTCGGGCACAGGGCTTTGGAGGGAAGAGTGATGATGTCCCCAAGATGCTTCATGCTTATGTGAAGCAACGCCAGAGGCAGGTGACAGCTCTGTGGAGGTCTGCAGAAGGAAGGCGGTCCGAGTGCTCTTGGTGACAGTGTCGCTGGGCCTCTTCATCTTTTATGGCTGCATGATCTCTTTCCCCCAAACGGTTCTGGTCATTGGTCATTGATGCATTAGCCTTAACTAGTCAGCCCTCCCTCCATTCCTGGGACTCGCATGGCAGGCAACTGTACTCGCTGCTACACTTCCTCTCCCCCCCCCGCCCCCAGCCATCTCCCGGTCTCTATCTCTCTTATTCCCTTCTTTTTTTCCCTCCTTCTCCTCCTCCTCCTCCTTCTCCTTCCCACCGCCTGCCTGTGCTAAGTCTCGCCTGAATGAGATGAAGACCAAAGGCGTGTGATCCAGTGGCAGACATACAGGCATCCCTCAGTCATATATGCTATATGGTGGGGAGAGCACAAGCTAAAACTTCTGCTCCTCTGAGTTTGTGTGTAATTGATTTAATTTTTGACTTACGTATATTTATTACTGATTCAGCAGAGTCTCGTGGCTCTGCCCTTGCCTTGTGTATTAGATGTCTGGGGGGCTCCCTCTAGAGTTGTGGGTTCCTAGTACTGGCTCTGCCATTTGCTGACCATATTACTTTAAGTCCTTTGAGCTCTGCGGTCCTCAGTGTCCTGAACTATGGAGCCTCAGTTTCCTAGTATGTGATAATAATGTGTGCTCAGAGATTCTAGCCAGGTTAAGAGAAAATGTAATGTCACTTAGTATGGGGCCATGAAAATCATGAGTACTCACTGAAAGATTAGGGTTTTTTCTTTCTTTCTTTCTTTCTTTCTTTCTTTTCTTTTTCTTTTTTTTTTTTTTTTTTGTTTTTGGTTTTTGAAGACAGGGTTTCTCTGTGTCGCTTTGTTGCCTGCCCTGCCCTGGAACTAGCTCTTGTAGACCAGGCTGGCCTGGAACTCACAGAGATCCTCCTGCCTCTGCCTCCCGAGTGCTGGGATTAAAGGCGTGCACCACCACTGCCCAGCTTCTTTCTTTGTTTTCATTGCTAGCGAATCAGCCCTCAGGAGGTTGGGACAAGGAGAATCACAAGCTCCTGGCACAGGGGACATAGTGAGGCCCTGTCTTGAGCAACAATAGCAGTGATAATAACAATGGCTACGATACTAATGTGAACTTCATTTCTTTTCAAGTCTTATTGTTCAGACAGAGAATTAGAGAAGTTTCTATCTTCTCCCTCCCTGAGCGCCATCTGGCTGGACAGCTTTTGGTGGCTATTTCATGAACGGTACCAGGTAAATGTGAACCTGTGTCTCCTCCCTCACTGGCCTCGCCTTCGTATGGGACCAAGTCCTGCTGTTAGTGTGAGCTGCAAGTCCCTCTGTTCCAGTGGATCACCTTGACAGATTCAGCCTCTCATCTCCCTACTCCTGCCCCATCCACATACTCGAACCTTAGCTCCCATGAGTTTGAGCAGTCAGTTGCTGCTAAGTAGCGGGTCCAGGACAAGGGCGAGAGAAGAACTTGGGACCTTTTGACCCAGACAAGCAGCTCATACCTCAACCCACAGGTTGTGACCCCTTTGCGGGGGTGGGGGTGGAGGGGTCAAATAACCTTTCACAGGGGTCACATATCAGATAGTTACATTACAATTCATAACAGTAGCAAACCTACAGTTATGATGTAACATTGAAAATAAGTGTAAGTTGGGGGTCATCACAGCGTGAGGTAGAGGGTCGTAGTTGAGAACCACTGCTCTAGCGAGTAAGACTTCTGAGGTGAGACCCGCCAGGTGTGGTGGTGCATATTCAAGGCCAGCCTGGGGTCTCCTGGTGAGGCCATCTCTGATAAAACAACAAATGAGAAAGCATGGCAGCCCCTTGGGCAGCTGCCGCAGGCATGCTGGTAATTCTGTCTCTCACCGGGCAGCCAAACAAGGAGATCCAAAACAAGCTGTTTGACCGGATAGCCCGGAATTACGCCTTGCTGTTGTTCAAGACGGTTCGGTCCCACTATGAAGAGGCACTCATAAAAGTGAGTATCACTTGCTGCTTAGAAAACTTCTTTGCTGGGGCTGAAGAGATGGCTCAGAGGTTAAGAGCACTGCCTGCTCTTCCAAAGGTCCTGAGTTCAATTCCCAGCAACCACATGGTGGCTCACAACCATCTGTAATGAGGTCTGGTGCCCTCTTCTGGCCTTCGGGCATACATGCAGAAAGAATATTGTATACATAATAAATAAATAAGAAAAAAAAAAAAAAAGAAAACATCTTTGCTGAGCCAGGTGGTCGTAGTGCAAGCCTTTAATCCCAGCACTCGGGAGGCAGAGGCAGGTGGATCTCTGAGTTCAAGGCCAGCCTGAACTGGAACAAGAGCTAGTTCCAGGACAGGCTCCAAAGCTACAGAGAAGCCCTGTGTCGAGGGAAAAGAAAGAAAGAAAGAAGGAAGGAAGGAAGGAAGGAAGAAAGAAAGAAAGAAAGAAAACATCTTTCTGGCAAGAGAATGCCCCCAAACAGGCGTTCCATAAAGGAGTAATAAGTACCCGTGCACTAGCTTATGATTTAGCCATTGCAAAGAAGTGTGACTGAGTCCTGTGCTCACGGGGGAAGATGTAACGATGTGTTTTGAGGGGGGGAGAAGCAAGTTATTCAATTCAATGTTTAAAACTATGGTATATAGCCATCACACACTTTGTAACAAACAATTCAGTTCATGATAGGTCACATCTCTGGCAGTGGTCCCATGAGATTATGTCACATAAAGGTGACAAGCCATTACAGTTTGTGTAAGTAAAGTCTGTAATGTTTATATATGATGAAATCACCTACTGATGTGGTTCTCAATGTATTCTCACCATTAGGTGATGACACAGCTCTGTAGTTATATGCGCACACATGCACACCCAGAAATAGAAAAAAATCTGGGAAATATTTGCCAAGTTCCTAGCAATGGTTGTCTCTGAGGACTGAGGTCATAAGGGAGTTCACTTTTCTATTTCTTTTCTTTTTAAAGAACTAAGACCTTTGGGGGATCTGTAGAGAGGGTTCAAAGGTTAAGAACACTGGCTGTTCTTCCAGAGGTCCTGAGTTCAATTCCCAGCACCCACATGGTGGCTCATAACCATCTATAACAAGATTTGGTACCCTCTTCTGGCCTGTAGGCATACATACATACAGAACACTACGCATAATAAATTAATCTTTTTTTAAAAAAGAAAACACTTTTATTTTATGGGTGTGGGTATTTTGCCTCTGTATCTATATGTGTTATGTGCACATAGTGCCAGCAAAGGCCAGAAGAAGCCCGAAAATCCCCTGGAACTGAAGTAACAGCTGTCTGTGAGCTGCCATGTGGGTGCTGGGAATTGAACCTGGGTCCTCTGTAATAACAGCCAGTGCTCTTCACTGCTCTGCTGTTCTTCTATCCCCTTTGCTATTCTAGTTCATGTTTCTGTCATATTTAAATAAGCTTGTAATATTAGAATGCGACGTGTAAACACATGTATACTGTGTGTGCGTGCGTGTGTGTGTGTGTGTGTGTGTGGTGTGTTAACTAAAGAGACTGTTGGGAGAAAATGTATCGGTATTTCGATAATTCGCAGGTGAGGAAGAACAGTGTAAGCATGATCTAGGAGACGGGTCCTCAAACAAGACTGGTGGATTGAACTGTGTATTCTCACTGTATGTGTGTGTGTAATTTATTTGTGAGTTGAGGTCTCACTCTAGTCCAATCTTAGCTACAATCTGACTCTGTAGTCTCAACTAGCCTCAGTTCTCCATTCTCCTGCCTCAATCTCCAAGTGATAAGATTAGAGCCTGTGTCATTACACCTATCTATTGACTATATAGTTTTTTTTAAACTACTACACAGAAAATTAAGATATAAATAACAAACTGTACAAAAATACTGGTGGCATTTTTTTTATATTTTTTTTAATGTGTATGAGTGTTTTGCCTACATATATGTCTGTGTACCATGTTCATGCCTGGTTCCTGTGGAGGTCAGAAGAAGGCACCAGATCCTCTGGAACCAAGTTGCAGGTGGCTATGAGTTGCCTTGGTGGGACCCAGAAATTGGAACTGGGTCTTCTGCAAGAGCAGCTAATGCTCTTAACCCCTGAGCCAACTCTCCAGCTCCTGGTGGTGTCTGTGTAACACAACATAAAGAACTCTTGCAAATCAGTAAAAAAAAAGTTCAACATCTTGAGACTGGAGTGATGGTTCAGCAGTTAAAGCACTTATTGTTCTTACAAAAGTCATGGGTGTAGTTCCCAGCACCCATAGGGTAGCTTAAACTATCTTTAACCTCAGTTCCAGGGGATCTTATATATATTTACCTGGCCTATGCAGGAAACCAGCATACATATGCTGCATGGACATATATGCAGGCAAAACACTCAAGTCTAAAACAATTTTAAAAATATTAGACATCTCACCAGGCAATGGTGGTAAACGCCTTTAATCCAAGCAATTGGGAGGCAGGTGGATCTCTGTGAGTTCGAGGCCAGCCTGGTCTATAACAGTTAGTTCCAGGGTAGGCTCCAAAAACTGCAGACATTTCATAGATTCCTGGATAAAGTACATAAATGAGAAATTCACTGAGGAAGAAGTATGGATAGGAGAAAAGTTTAGTCTCAAATCAAAACAGAAATGAAAACAATAATTGAATTCCCTGGGAGCTGGGGGTGTTGCCCTGAAACGGTGCTTCTCAATGTGCGTGAGATCCTAAGTTCAGTTTCCAGCATCACACAAAGAAGAGAGGAGAAGCCTCCCTCTCAGCCTGTATAGTGGTTCACACCTGTAATTCCAGCATTCAGCAGGCAGAGAGATGATTCACATAAATTCCTGGGCTGCATAGTGAGACCTTGTCAAACAAAGCTCAACTGGTCCTCCTTGGGGTAGATAGTCATGGGGCGATGCATGCATATGCAGTGTATATATGTCCTTATCTTGCTGTTTCCTTGGCCATGCTCTGGGCAGAGTACAGAAGCACCGAGCGTTAGAACACTGCGGAGGTGTGCTGGGGGAAGGCGGAGATTGCTGGCTGAGCAGAGCCTGGTTCCTGAGGAGTATCCTCAGTGACACCCAGAGATGGGGAGGCAGCCCAAGACAGAAAGGAAGGTAGCCTGGTGTTGGAAGGAATTTGGTCACCGGTTCTTGGCTCAGCCAGGCCTCTTTTCTGAGGGCAGAGACACTGGGACTGATGCTGAGCTCTGCTTCCTCCCAGAGGCTCCCATCGCTTCTGAGCAAAGCCCTGTATACCAGTTTCTGCTGCTCCTTCCCCCAGTCCTGGTTCGACACCCACGAATTCAAGTCAGAAATTTGTAATACCATGGACCTGTGGATCTCAGGTGAGAGGGGAGGGACTTCCTGCCAACTAGGTAAGGAAGGTGGTGCAAAATGTTTCCCACCAGAGGCTGGGTGTGTTTTTTGACTGCCTAGCATCAAGACAGCCTCCTGTTCTTTCCTTATCAGTGAAGTCTGAGCTTTGAGCTTCATACCTACTTCCCTGCATCCCTTGTATTCGAGAGGCTATGGCAGGGAGTTTGTGAGTTCAAAGCCAGCCTGAATTCATGGCAAACCCCTGCCTTAAAAAAAAAAAAAAGCTCACGAATATAGCAGCCAAAATGAACTATAAAGAAAGATAAAGCTGGGCATGGTAGCACACACCTGCAGTCCCAACACTCGGGAGGAAGAAGCAGGAAGATTGCTATGAGTTTGGGCCAGCCTGGGCTATATGGCAAATATCAGGCTGACTAGGGTTACTTAGACCTATCTCAAAACACCAGAGAGGAAGAGAGAGGAAAGGAAGGAGCAAGGGCGGGGGAGAGAGGATGAGAATGTGAGAGTGTGGACTGAGCTGCAGTCCCAATTCCCCTTTTCTTGTATGCAGTTCTGAGTCATGGCCGCCTGACCTGAGCCTATGCCCCACCACATCTGCAGGGAGCAAGGCAGCAAGTGTCACTTCAGCCCTGTTAGTTAGCCACGGACCCCAGAGCAGCAGGACCCAGGTGGCCCTGCAGTCCACTTCAGCACATACTGCGCCAGCTCCTCCTTGGCTTTCCCAGACATCTTCATTCCTTTCCCCCACTTCCCTATCTCAGCATAGACCCTTTCTGAGGTCATTGGATGCTGTTATTCTTTGTGAAGATTTGTGTTGGTCAGATATCGTGCGAAACAGGCAACTTTGACATTTCATGTTGGGAGCAAGAAGTTCAACAAGGTCACTTCCTCATAAAGAGCTTTGTCTCCATGGCTAAGATTTACAGCATCCAGTAGGAAACATGGCTGGACCATAGAGGAGGAATGGAATGCTTTGGGGGATTCCTGTGCAGGCTGTCTGGCCTTCACTCCCTCCTTTCCACGGGAAGTCACACAGAGTCCATTTACCTACCTGCCAGGGAGATGTAGCTACTCGTGTGTGATGCCTCTGTCCAGGAGAAGCACATCAGAGATTCACGACCAAGGTTTTCCATTCAGGGTCATCTTGGAGACACCTCTGTTTCTCTGGGATCTCAGTTCTGGAAAGCTGGCATTTAGCCAACCTTCACTGTCTACGGACAGCCCAGGAGGAATAGCTCACTCATTAAAAGTAGTTTTGTGTCAGTGTATGGACCTGTTTGCTGGCTGTGTTCCCAGACACTAGCCAAGGCCTAGCCTTGCCGGCGTTCGCTGCACACCCTTTTAGCCCTCTGAACATGAAGGGTTAAAGAAGTTCAAGAGAAAAGAACTGAGTGTCTTGCTTTAGACCCAGAGTTGTTCCCCTCCAAAGCTAGGTCTTGGGTCACTGTGGCAACCTGTCTCTCATTTCCCACCTTCTTCCTGCTGCTCCTTCTCCCTGGTCCTGATTTTGCCTGACTAATCACCAGGAATAAACTGCCTGCCTACTCCTATTGCCAAGTGGAAGCAGCAGCATCGCACAGTGGCTCACATTTCTCCAGTGACCCTTGGAAGCATCATTTCTGGCACTGAGCCTGAGAGTGTGTTGAGCCTGAGAGTGTGTTGAAGAACTTTCGCCGAGCAGTTATTCACTGCTGCCCGGTCCAGCGGGAGGCCCTGGGGATGCAGACCAACTGTCCCTACCCCTGTCCCTGTGGAAGGGAAACTCTTTGTTCAGCAAGAACAATGGGAGACAAACAGGAAGCTGGGTAACTGCAGCATCTTCATTAGCGCTGTCATGGGTCACACACCCAGGGCAGGTGGCATTGTCCCCATTCTTCAGGTGAGGAAACTCTCCAGAGAGGAAGTGACAAGGCCAGGACAATGCTGGTAGCAGATCTCCAGTTCCCTGAAGCCAGCAGGAGACTCAAGGCCTCTGTTCCCCTTGTCCTGCCCCAGTCTCATCAGTGGAAGTGTCTGTTACCCTCTTGGCTTCTTTTAGGGACGTATCCTTGCCCAAAGAGCTATGACAATTGGGACTACTCGGAGCTGGATCCAGAGAGGTTCCGGAGAGAAGAACTGATGTTACAGAGCAGTCGACTTATAAGGGGTAAGCGCCCAGCTCCAGCCCTGTGCCTTCTGCCCCTTTACAGCCCAGTCACAGTGTAACTGAGGCAGAGTACCAGGGCACTGATGTCCCCACTAGGTTTTCTCTCATAGGCTTCCAGGCTAGCCATCAAATGAATACAATACCAGTGTCTATGAGTATGGAGAGTAGAGGTTTACAGTTGGTAGAAAGGCTGGGGACACCCAGTTCTGACACAGGGATTGCCTAGACCATGAGTTCCATCCATAGAGCTATAAGCAAACACGCAAATCTACCTTCTTGTCTGTCTGTTCTCCCATACTGTATCAGGTCTGTGTGTACCAGTATCATCTACTAGGCCTGTATGTTCTACACTGTGTGGGTCTGTATGTTCTAGTATCATCTATGAGACCTGTGTATTTTATACTCTATCCAGTCTGTGTTCTAGTATCATCTACTAGGCCTGTGTGTTCTACACTGTATGGGTCTGTATATTCTAGTATCATCTATGAGGTCTGTGTATTTTATACTCTATCCAGTCTGTGTTCTACTATCATCTATGAGGCCTGTTGTTCTATACTGTATGGGTCTGTGTCTTCTAGAATTGTCTATGAGGCCTGTGTGTTCTATACTCTATTCAGTCTGTGTGTTCTATATTCTATCCAGTCTGTATGTTGTACAGTAGAATATGAAAAGCTAGTTAAGCCGGGCAGTGATGGTACGCACCTTTAATCCCAGCACTCAGGAGGCAGAGGCAGGTGGATCTCTGTGAGTTCGAGGCCAACCTGGTCTATAAGAGCTCCAAAGCAAGCCTGTCTCAAAAAACAAAACAAAACAAAACAAAACAAACAAACAAACAAACAAACCAAAGAAAGAAAGAAAGAAAAGAAAAGCTAGTTAATAGGAACCTAGGAGTTTACTGGTGCCTGGGACCTGTTGGAACCTCTGGGTGCTGTTTCATCTCCATGACAGCCAAGTGAACCACAGGAGACCCTACATGCCTGTCACCAGTGAGGACACTGATGGCCAGCGGAGTAACTTGTACGGTCCCAACTTTTCTATTTCTCTCCCCATATCATGTCATAGACATGTTTTGGTGGCATACATCTCCAATCCAAGCACTTAGGAGGCTGAGACAGGAGTTTGAAACCAGCCTGGTCAATTACAGAGCAGAAATTCTACTGCCCATTTGTCAACCACACTGTGAGCACTCTGACTGCAGTTCATTGGCATTGCTACTTCACTTTGGTGGCTAGTTTAAGAGTCTGCGAAGGTCACGTCACGTCACATCATGTCTGTGAGCCAGGCCTTAGGCTGATGCTGTCTCTGGGCCTGTGAGCCTTGCCTCTCCTCCCTATCCGAAGGCAGAGGGAGGCGCTTGAGCCACAGCATGTGGATTGCACCTGTCTTGGGTAGAGATAGGGTATGGAGGCCACATGGAGCAGTGCCAAGATAGCCCCCGACACTGGTCGTGCGAGGCCTCCACACTGAGATGTGAAGGTCAATATTTCAGACAGGTAGAGGGAAACCCACTGGTGTAGACGTTGTGGTTAAGTCGATTGGACCCTGCAGCTGAGTCAGGCCCCCACTACCTGTGAAGTTTTAGTCTCGTCTTGGGGTTCCAAGGAAGAGCCTGACTGCAGTGTCAGTCTGGAAATTATAACAGCCCCTGCTTTTCCAGGACCAGACCCTGTCTCTGTCACTGTCCTAAGCAAACAGACATGCTTTTCTCAGGCAATAGGTCAGACAGGATTTCTCTGTGTATCCCTGGCTGGCCTGGGACTCCTCTGTAGACCAGGTTTTTGTTTTGTTTTGTTTTGTTTCCTAAGGGGGGAGGAAAAAAAAATAAAAGAAAGAAACCAGTTGTTAAATTGTCTTTATTTCTGCCTCCAAGGATTGGCTGTGCTCAGGATTTTTTGTTTTGATGCATTGAAGGTTTAACAACTTGTCACATTGGTAGTTTTTCTTAGTTTTTGGTGGTTTCAGGGCTTAAACCCAGAGCATCAGCTCTTGTTAATCCCGAACTCTGACCCTGCAACACCCCAGTCCTAGATTTTCTTCTACTTTTGTTGTTGTTTTAATTTTTTCTATTAATTTTTTCAGATTTTTTTTATGTGTGTGTTTTGCCTGCATGTCTGTCTGTGTGCCATATGCGAGTGCTCGGTGCCCACAGAGGTCAGAAGAGGGTGCTGGGTTCCCAGGAACTGGAGTTACATGTTTGTGGCCACCCTGTGGATGTCAAGAATGACCCTCCGTAGAGCAGAATGTGCTGTAACCACCGAGCCATCTCTTCAGCACTGAATTTTCCTTTTTAGACTTTTAACCCAGCTTTGTGGCGCACACTTCTAATCCCAGCACTTGGAAAGCTAAGGCAGGAGGACTGCAAATTAAAGGCCAACATGGTCCCTATAGAGTTCAGAGCCAGGGCTAGATAGTAAGACCCTGTTTCAAAAGCAAACGAACAAAACAAGTGTAGGAGTCATCAGGAGGCCGGGTGTGATGGCACACGCCTAATCCCAGCACTTGGGAAGCAGAGGCAGGTGGAGCTCTGTGAGCCTGGTCTGTCAACAGCCAGAATTACATAGTAGAGAGACCCTGTCCCCAGCAGGATAAGTCAGGACTACACAGAGAAATGCTGTCTTAAAAACAAACAAACAAACAAAAAAAAAAACATCTTCTTTGGGACTTGGCTCAGTTTTGTAAGAGTCCGGGATTAGTTTTCCTGTGAGGCTGCTGTGACTTTGTTTTGTTATCCTATGCACCATGCCCTGCACATGTGGCCTTGTAGGCATTATCTCTGCTGGCTCAGCAGCTCTGCCTCATTGAGCAGAGACCCATGCTTGCCTGGGGCCAGTTCTGTTTCTGGTTCCACTCTTGTCAATGCTTCTAGGGTTGTCTTAGGCTCCCACAAGCTCAGTGCCATGGCCAGACACCACAGAACAGCTTTTCTGTCTCCTAGGAAGAGAGTTCAGCCTCTTCACTTGTAAGAAAACCACCACCCAGAAGGTGGAACAGAACAAAAACAAGAAATTCTTTCGCCTTCCGGTAAGCAGAGAACACAGACCTGGACCCTGAACTACACAGGACCCCCAAAGCTGCTACAACCCTAGGTGTCTTGGAGTACCTGGGCCTTCTATGGAAGGCATATCTCCCACCTGATCTACTCCATTTGCTCAGAGAGGGGTCTGTTAGGCCCCAGATTATCCTCTTATGAAAGGAACATGTGGGACAACCACGGAAACATGAGAGGAGCAGACCCAGCCTTTGAGTCCAACCAGGATGACCCCCAGATATGCAGGCTCATGGCTCCAGGCTCACATCTGGGTCTCAGTTCTTTGTCTCTGTCTGTGTCTCCCCCCCACCCTCTTCTTCTCCCCATCTGTCCCCATCCCCTCCTGAGAGTGAAATCTCAGGGTCTCCTGCTAGGCAAACACCCTGCTACTGCACTATAGATGCAGCTTACAGTGGCTGCTGATCCCCTTCAGTCCCGCGCTCAGAGCTGCTTTTCTTGGTCCCCTCTAGAGGATGCTCCTGATGAAGCAAGCTCAATTTCCTTTCTTTCTGAGCATCCATGTGCTCTGGGCATCCCTCTGACCATGGCCATGCCCGTATAGATCTTAAAGCTCTAGGTCAACATGCCTTTTCCTGATTACTGAGTGCTCATATTGGACACCTCATGAGGCTTGATGCCAGATTATATGCCATGTGTTTACCTGGGCCTCAGCACAGAGATGATGCAACCCACCTCCATACTCCATGTGCCTCTTGTAACAGTCTCCCATTCTCACTGAGGGTTTTTTTGTTGGTTGAACTTCTCCCTCTGCTAGTATGTAAACTCTATGAGGGAGGGGCTGTCTCCTGTCACTGTCTGGACTCCTTTATCATCAAAGGTAGACCTGCCACCAAGAAGGCACTCCGTAGGATATCTTCACGATGGTCACCCTTTGTAAGCTCTGGGCCCTGTGCTTAGTATGCAATGGAGATCTCTGTCACTCCTGCCTCAAGCACAGGCAGAACAGGCATGGCTGAGGCCAACTGTCCCTCAGAGATCAGCATCGAAATAGTACGCAGTGTGTGGGCACTGCCAGTCACTGTGCCCAAAACAAATATGTTTCTCTGTACTGAAACACAGAAAGCCTTCTGACATTTATTGCAAGAACCCAGCTGAGAGTTCCCATCTTCTGTCCTGGAAATAGAAATAATCAAAACCTGGAACCTTGAAAGCAGCTGAAATTTGAATGGCAAACCAGGACAGAGGGAGTATTTGGATTACTGGCAACAGAGCCTCTCACCATGAGCAGACAGTCCCCATCTGCTCAGTGAATGCAGCTGGCTGCATTCAGAACATGCATTTCAGTGGCAGCCGACTCTCTGAGAGTCCAGTATTCAGGATACCAACCCGTGCTTTCTCTAGGATCAACTTGTCATCTGCCCTTGTCTCGCTCACGCACTGAGGACCTGTAGTGGATCCGCTTGTTCTGTGACTTAGTTATAAATCAGGGCTCACAGAAACCCGTCAAAGACTCGGTCAAGTCTCCCACCCCTTTAATGAGTTTTAAAGATGGCAGAAGGCAGCGTCTATAAAGAGGAGCTTGAGCTGGAAGATGGCTCTGTTGATAAAGTGTTGATAAAAGCATGAAGATCTGAGTTCAGTCCCCAGAACCCATGTAAAAAGACTGGGTGTGGTGGTGTGTGCCTATCACCTAACTGCTGGGGACGCAGAGGCAGACAGATCCCTGGCCAGCAATCACTGGCCAGTCAGTTAGTCCAATCATTGAGCTCCAGGCCACTGTGAGGTTCTGTCTCAAAAACAGTGTTCTTGGGGGCCCGGCTGTCCTGGGTGTTCTCTGCATCTTTCAGGAAGCGCTTGCTCCTGTCCACAGTCCTCCTGGGCACCAGAGTCCAAAACACCAGTTCCTCTCATTGCTTATTCTGTCTGATGTCTCGGGCAGGTGTGAGGCATGGGAAGGGGTGTAGAGAGGAGAGCAGTCTTTACCTGGGGTGTGAGTCTTTACCTGGGGTGTGGAGAGGAAGAGGGGGCATGTGACAGAAGGCACCCAGCAGGTGCCAGTGAGCTGAGAGCCCAAGGGGCTATTGGGAGAAGGAACCGGATGAATGGAGAGCCTTCCAGGAGGCAGGAACAGCTTGTACAAAGGCCTGAGCAGGGAGGGAGGAAGGGAGAGAGGGATGGAGTGAAGAAGGGAAGGAGGGAGGGAAGGAAAAGAGATAGAGCTACTTGGGGAGTAGAGAGGCAGTGGATGGTGCAGAGCTTCGTAAGTGAGGGAAGTTGAGACAGGAGTTAAATCTGAGGATGTGGACTGGTCAATTCTTGGAAATGAGAGGGTAGACCAGGTTTCCATTGTTTGTTCTTGTATGGATGGACAACCGGGCAGCTCCCTTTCCCCGGTGAAGTGAACAGAGCAGCAGTGAACAGAGCAACAGTAGAGGTGTTTGTGTGGCAGGCAGGCTTGCAGTTGTCCAGTGTCTGCCCAGGAGTGAGGGTCATATGGTAGGTCTAGTTTTAATCTTTTTGAGAAACCTCTAAATTAATTTTCATAAAAGTTGTTTAATTTGTACCCCGCATCAGCAGCGATTCAGGACTCCTCTCCCTCAGCCCTTCCCACCATTGTACCCCACGTCAGCAGCGCTTCGGGGCTCCTCTCCCTCAGCCCTCCCCACCATTGTACCCCACATCAGCAGTGATCCGGGGCTCCTTTCCCTTGGTCCTCCCCACCATTTGCACCCTGCATCAGCAGTGATTCAGGATTCCTCTCCACCGTTTGTTGTCACACTTAGGATATTTGCTTCTGTTGTACAAGTCCTTGGCCACAGTCCTGCATCTGGTGGTTTACGGGACCCTTCCTGTTTCCTTTCCTAGCCAGCCTCCTGGAGTGTGAAGATGGTGCCTGGAGTGCCTGGAGCTCTGGTCACCATCTTGGTTCCTGAGGACAGTCTCCTTAGAGTGAAACCCGAAGGTGGGAGAAGTCAAGACTCCTGAGCCTTAACACGGCTCTGTGGGACAGCCACTGTTAGGAAAGCCTCCTACTTATCTGGGAATGCTTCAAGACAGGGACTAGGTTCCTTCAGTGGTTGGCAAGCAACAGATAACACAGGAGTTACTCAAAGAAACATTGGTGGAGGCCATGCTCTGCCAGACTGCTTAGAAGTGGCCATGTCCGGGAGCCACAGTGCACATCGCATGTGGCAGCTGGATTCAGCTTTAAGGAACCCCAGGGAGCAAAGATATTCAGTTACTGCTCCAGATCTTTAGCAGCTGAGTGACTTCCCACTACTGCCTGACACCCACTCCACATCATCCCTTGCGCTTTCCCCCCTGACCAGCTTCCCTCTGCCGTGGTCCAGAAACTGGGCCAGAAAGCTCTTCTCACATATGTTCCTTTACTGAGAAGGATGAGGTAGAGCCAACATGCAAGTATTTCTCTCATATCACTTTTGCTAACTTTATTTTTTAAAAATATGCTCCCCTGAAGTCTTTTAGTTTACCTGCGATCCATGAGAAAATCTTATCAAGGACGCTGGCCACAGAGGACAGCTCACGTCAAGAAACGAAAGGTAAGCGGGCTGCTGTGGAGGGCAAGGCTGGCTTGCTTCTCCATTCTTGCCCCTGAAACCCTGCTGCATGGATCCATCAGAGCACACTTTGCTTTGCCCTTGGGTTTGACCTGGGCCCCAGCACCAAGCAATGGCTAGGAGAGAGTTCTTTGTTGTTCCAGTCAGATAAGCACCTCGGTGTGTAAGACATTCCCATGACAGAGCCCTCCACTCAAGTGTCAAGAGTGCCAGGGCTCCCAACCCTGTTCATTGGTCAGCACGACAAGGATGCAGGGCCGCACTGCCGTCCTTAGAGGCCTGAGGAGTTCCCTAGACTTCTGGGGACCTTTACCATATTCATGGCTTCAGTGCTGAATTCCAGAACCCAGCAGTATAGCAAAGAAGAGGTAGAGATTTTATTAATGATACGCACATATATACACACATATATGATTATTTTATTTTTATTATGTGCGTATGCCATATATGTGTAAATGCCTTCAGAGGCCCAGAAGAGAGCATCAGATCCCTTGGAGCTGGAGTTCAAGGCAGTTGTGAGCCTCTGTAAAAAGGTACTGGGAACCAAACTCTGGTCCTCTGGAAGAGCAGCCAGCACTCTTAAGCACTGAGTAATCTCTCCAGCCACTGAAGATATTTTAATATAGGCTTAAGCACAAAGGTCAGGAGAAAGGAGGAACTCAGAAGATGAAATACACCCAAGAGTATGAGCATGGGCTTCTCAAAGAGAAGTGATGTACCAGCCTTTTTCTTTTAGCCCACCAACCAGCTCCCAAAGCATGACCCAGAGACTTATTATTAGTTGTGAACACTCAGCCCAGCTTCGGCTCGTTTCTGGCTAGCTCTTTTAAATTAACCTGTTTCTGTTTATCTACCTCTTGCCTCGGGGCTTTTTACCTTTCTCCCTTCTGTATATTTTACCTTCACCGCTTCTCATGTCTGACTGGTGGTTGCCTGGCTTCTGGCCTCTGGTGCGTCCCTCTCTTTCTCCTTCATTCTGTTCTCTCTTCTTCTCTTCTTCTTGAATCTAGATTCCTATTTATTCTTTCTGCCTGCCAGCCTGGCCTATCCCTCTACTGCCTAGCTATTGGTCATTCAGCTTTTTATTAGACCAATCAGGCAGGCAAGGTGAAACAAATGCAACCCATCTTTACATAATTAAGCACACATCCTCATATCATTAAACAAATGCAGCATAAACAAATGTAACACAACCTTACAGTTAAAGTAATATTCTGCAGCATAAACAAATGTAACACATCTTTACATTTTTAAAATAATATTCCACAATGAACTGTTACTATTATTTATACAATGATAGATTAGATTTTTGGTGGGGTTTAAAGTTACTGTCTTATTACTGAATGATCTTAGGGGGACACAGGAGTACAACTGATAAAGTGAAAGTCTAGCCCACTGGGAATAAGAAGGTAGGGTTTGTTCTTTCATCTTTCCTTGTTATGTAGATTAGACTGACCTCAAACTAATGGAGTTCAGTTTATTTTACCACCCAAGCACTGGGATTAAACTCATGTGCCACCCTTGGCAAGGATATGTTCCCTGTAAACCAAGTTAAGTTTTGTCAAGACTCATGCCATATCTAGAGAAAGGAATGAGGCCCTATCCAGGGCCTAGACATTCAGGCCTTAACTGCTGTTTGAACATAAAGTGTCTGCATATGAAACGGGATGAACTGTTATCAGCCTTTCCACAGATATGGTTAATTGTGCTGGATTTCTTGCTTCTTATCTGGCAAATTGTCAAACTCTAGGGTAATTTGGCTCCTCGCCCACTCTGTTTTCAAGACAGGGTTTCCCTTTGTACCTTTGGAGCTTGTCCTGGAACTTGCTCTATAGACCAGGCTGGCCTCAAACTCACAGAGATCCACCTGCCTCTGCCCCCACCCCCGCGAGCTAGGATTAAAGGTGTGTGTTGGAAGGAGGCCACTTGTTCTTCCCAGCCGCCCAGGTAGTTAGACCCGAAATAACCGCACAGAAACTGTATTGATTAAAACACTGCTCGACCCATTAGCTCTAGCTTCTTATTGACTAACTCTTACATCTTAATTTAACCCAGCAGACTTTTCCATGAAGCAGGAAATTTCAAAGACAGTTCCACCTATATTGGCAGTTTGTCAGTCATTTTTTTCTGTGTCCTGCAGAATGTCTAGTAGACTCTTTCATGAAGCAGGAACCATGAAGGATAGTCTCACCTTTAGGCAAGTTCAGCAGTCATTTCTCGGTGGATTCTGCATGTCCAGTTCATCTAATGAACTCCATAAAGAGCCTTTTCAATGCCCATCTTCCTCTTGAAGTAGATTGGTGCTGCCAGGAGCAGATGTGTCTCACTGTCATGAAAACTCCTAAATTTTTAAAACATTTAAATGCCATATTCTGAAGATCTCTGAAAGATTTGAAGGATACCCAACTAACTGAAATATATCTCTACATATCTAGAAAACCTAACTAACATGACTACAATCTTGACTATTATAGATGATTATCTATTAACTTATATTAACTATACATTGCATTTTAAAAAGAACTACACAAACACAATACCTTAATCAAGGGCAGAAATATACATATACAGTATAACAAAATTTACCTTAAATTTGTATCAATAAATCAAGATCTATACCAAAGCAAATTATTTATCTCTATAGCATATCCCCCTTTAAATGTAAAGAAACATTTATAAACAATATTTGGGACTATGGGTGTAGTTTCTTCTTTCTCCCAGCATTCAGTCTAGTTTTCCCTGCCTACCTAAGTTTTTGCCTTGCTATAGGTCCAAAGCAGTTTCTTTATTCATTAATGGTAATCACAGCACATAGAGTGGACTCCCACATCAGGTGTGTGCTATCACCACCCAACTTTCTTCTTTCTTTCTTCTTTCTTTCTTCTTTCTTTCTTCCTTCCTTCCTTCCTTCCTTCCTTCCTTCCTTCCTTCCTTCCTTTCTTCTTCTCCTTCCTTCCTCCTTTCCTTTCCTTTCCTTCCTTCCTTCCTTCCTTCTTTCCTTCTATTAAGATTTTATTTATTATTTTATGCATGTGCATGTTTTTCCTACATGTATGCATGTGCACCATGGTACTCAGAGAGTCCAGAAAAGGATATTGGACTCCCTAGAATTAGAATTACAGACAGCTATGAGCAGCCATGTGGGTGATCGGAACCAAACCCAGGTCCTCGGCAAGAGCAGTAAGTACATAACTGCCCTCATAACTGCTGAGTCATCTCTACAGTCCTGGATTTATTTTTATATTTATTCAACATTATATGTATATATGTACATTTTTGTGTGTATGCCACGGGTTTTGGATACCCTTGAAGGCCAGAAGAGGGCACCAGATCCCCTGGAGCTGAAGTTAAAGGCCACCATTGTGAACTTCCTGATGTAGATGCTGGGAACTGAACTCCGGTCCTTTGGAAGAGCAACATGTGTTCTTAACCTATGAACCATCTCTCCAGCCTAAGACATTTTTCTTCCTTCCTGCTGCTGGGGGCTGAGCCCATGGTCTTGTGCATGTTAGTCAAGCTCTCTACCACTGAGCTATGTCCCCACCGTAGACTAACGCTACTTTTTCTCTTGATGTAAACAGAGATTGCACTTTTGTTTCCTGGCTGCCCAGACCCAAATAATCACACAGAAACTATATTAATCACAGCACTGCTTGGCCAACAGCTCAGGCATATTCCTAACTAGCTCTTACATCTTAAATCAACCCAGTTTGTTACCGCACATCTTGCTTCTTGGGCGGTTAGGTGGCGTCTACGTTACTCTGCCTTCTTTTTTCCTGCATTCAGTTTAGTTTTCCCAACCTAGCTATATTCTGCCCTGCTGTAGGCCAAAGCAGCTTCTTTATTAACCAATGGTAAAAAACATATTCATAGTATTCAGAGGGGAATCTCACATCATCTTGGTGTGTTGGTGACTTGGTTCCACTGTTCCCTGCCTCCCAGTGCTGCCGAGTGCTCTGCAGCCTTTCTAGTGGTCTGTTTTTAGTGACCTGATGTGTTTTTACTTGTCTTCAAGCAATTCTCTGCTAACCTCCTACAGGAATCAGAAATCCACAGTTTTGTGCAGAAGCTGGATTTTTTTTCTTTTTTTGTATTGTAGCCCCAATACTCATTCTGTTCCTGCATGGCATTTTAAAAACTTTGGGACTTTCCTTATTCTGTGACCACACTGCTTTTATAGATGCTTTCTCATGGCGCCTGGGTTAGTGTGGCTCTTATTATTTACATGTCATGTCCTTTTTTTCCCTCAGTAAACTAGGAGGTCCTTGAAGATAATCCATTTCTAGCACCCAGCATGAACCTGGTTTGGAGTGGATGTTCAGTGACTATCTGTGGACAGAGAGATGTGCCAACATGGCCTATGGCTGTTTGTCTGGCTGTAGAGCAAGTGGAGTCATCTGGCTCCCCTGCAACTCCAGAGGACTGACACCTTGTACCAATCCCACCATGCAAGGGCACTTCCGCTCTAGTGCCCTTTTCCTTGGGTAAATACCCACAATCACTTTTTTGCTGTATCACATTGACAGACCAGCCAGCAACAGCTCTGTCCTCCCGGAAAGCCACGCCGCAAGTCAAGAGGATCTCGGAAGCCAGAGCATTAATGAATTTTTTGCTGAAAAAGGTGAGCATACGATTGGAAATTTAAGGTCTATTTCATTGTCTTTAATTTGTGTGTGTGTGTGTGTGTGTGTGTACACATATAGTGTGCATGTGACTATGTATATATGTAAATGCGGGTGTCCTCAGAGGCCAGAAGAGGGTGTCTGAGCCCCTGGAGCTGGAGTTACAGGCTCTTGTGAGTCACCTGACATGGTCACTGGGAACCAAACTCGTATCCTCAGGAAGAGTAGTAGACATCCTTAACTGCTGAGCGTCTCCGGCTTAGAGCAGAGGTAAGTTAAAGGAGCCATGGATGGCCAAAGCATCTTCATCTTACGTGGATGGCATGTCAGAGCAGGAGAATTTCTGATTACAGCCCAGATGATGCCTGCAGATCTCCGAAGGATGATTCCTGGGTCAAGAAGACACCCACTGTCAGAGTGTTTTCTCTGTATTTAAACTCCCTGCTGGAGCTAGGTATGGTAGCTCACACCTGTAATCCCAGCACTTAGGAGGCTGACTTGGGAGGATTGCTAAGCATTCTAGCCAGCCTGAGCTACGTAGCAAGTTCTAGGCTATCCCGAGCTAGAGTCAGACCTTGTTCTCTGAAGGCGTAAATAATATTTTTTTTCTACTTTAACTAAGACCCCCATGCATAACAGGAAGAGAGCTGTGAGCTTGCTTCTGCTTCCTTCTCTCTGTTATAGAAATAAATACACCTTTTCAGTGGGTTCAGATCTCTGTGCTGCCCCTCAACCAGCCTATGCTGGTACAGCTGTTATACGGAGAAACCCTGTTTTTGGAATACAAAAAAAAAAAAAAAGGAAGGAAGGAAGAAATAAAAAAAGGAAAGAAAAAAGAAATACAGCATTTCCAGACCAGGGTGTGCTGAGGTGGAACACTTGACCGCTGTGAGGAGGGCTGGATTGCCAAAAGAAGGCAAAAGTTGGTAGCATCTGCTGCCACCCAACTCCACTACCCACTGTTTTCTTCTTGTTGTTTGTTTGTTTGTGTTTTTTGAGACAGGGTCTCTCTGTGTAGCCCTGGCTGTCCTGAAACTCACTTTGTAGACCAGGTTGGCCTTGAACTCAGAGATCCACCTACCTCTTGCTGGGATTAAAAGAATGTGCCACCCCTGCCTGGCTTCCCCCACCCCTCAGTTAATACAAGGTCTCCTTGTCTCCCAAGCTGGTCTCGAACTGCAGCTCCTCCTGCCTTAACCTGCCAACTGCTGACTGTGTGCACCACCAAGCTAAGCTCCTTTTTGTGACAACCTGCCTATTAATTACAATGATAATCTTTGCCCTTGGAGAAAAATTCAGTCTTTAAAGTTTTGGTTAACTTGTGTGTGTGTGTGTGTGTGTGTGTGTGTGGTCTCACATGTACAAGTGACCATGGAGGAAAAACTTAAAGAAATGGAATTACTAGAACAAAATACATACATAGATTCACAAGAAAAGCGTACAGTCGGAATTTACTTGCCCCTATGCCTGTGTTGCGCGTTGTCCAGTTATTTCTGACAAGGGACACGGCTCTTTGTTGTTGCAGTAGACCACACACAGAACCTTTCCTTTGTGTTGGCCTTTCCCTGAGGAGGTATCTTAAGATGGAGTTGCTGGGTCAGAGGCATGGGTTCTGGGAACATGGTGTGTCCATTGCCGTTCCTACTGCTGTGATAAGATGCCCCGAGAAGAACAAGCTAAGGGAGAGAGGCTTTGTTTTGACTCACATTACAGATCGTGGAGGTGAGGGAGGGGACAGCTGCAGGGACCTAAGGCAGGTGGTCAGATTGTGTTCACACTCAGGAAGCAGAGCACCATGGGTGCTAGCTCTGAGCTCATGTTCTCCAAGCCAGACAGGAATAGCCCCACCTACATTGAAGATGGATCTTTCAATTTGATCAGTCAAGATACTCCCTCACAGATATGCCCAGAAGCTGAATAATCCCTCACATTTATGTTTGGAGACTTGTTCCCTGAGTGACTTTAATTTCTGTTAAGTTGATGACACTCTGCATCACACATGACCATATCCTTTCCCTTCCTCCTCCCCCAGTCCCACCCTGCCGGCAAAAGCCCCAAGCTGACTTCAAACCAATTCAACCTTTATGGGAAGAGTCCGCTAATCGTGTACTTCTTCCTCAACTACTCCCAGCTGCAGCTGAATGGCCAGGATTTGCTGGTCAGCAGGCGAGAAAAGACCAGTGTCGTCCCATATCCTTTTCACCAGACTCCTGCCACCCCTTTGCAGAAGTGGGGCTTGAGGGGAAGCATCCAGGCTTTCGTGCGTAAGCTGGCACACAGTGTGTACTTGGTAGGAGCAGCCATGGTATGTGCTTCAGGGGTAGAGTCTGGCTTGTGTGCTAAGGTGAGCCTCAAGTCTAGACCTTGGATGCATGTCAAATTTCCCCATGTACAGAGCCATGCTTTTTCATCTTTCAGCATGAACTTAGATGCTCACTGGTCCAAGAGTGTATGGACCATCAGTTTTGGCATCCACGTGAGAGTTTCATCTAACCTCCTCCTTTCCAGCTCCACTCAGCTCCTGGGAAACATGCAGCACGTGTTGGTATTCTGAGCCTTAACAACATGCCTTGGGGCTAGAACATGGGTTCTTCTGGGAATCAGTTTGCTCTGTTTGTTCAAATAGCTCCAGACTCCAGAACTAATGCTGCACTAGCCAACCAAGTGACTTTGGAAACACCCCGATTTCTCTGTGGGCATCCCTTTTTTCATCTGTAAAATCAAAATAAGGGTTTTCACCTCAGGAGTGTTGTTTGTTTTCTAAGACAAAGTCTGTCTGTGTAGTCCTGACTGGCCTGAAACTTACTGTGTATGTAGATCAGGCTGGTCTTGAACTCACAGAGATCTGCCTGCCTCTTCTTCCTGAGTGCTGGGATTTAAGACTTGTGCCACCACACCCAGCTTCAGGGGCACTTTTGCAGATTGATTTGCAGATTGCTGCCAGAGCAGCAGAGGGCACTGGTACTCCACTGCCTTTAGTGGCTCATGGGCAAGAGGGCACCAGAAGGCCTTTTCCTCTCCTGCCCTGAAGGATGGTGACAGCTGTCACTAGACAACATGATCCAAACTGTCCCAGCATCACCCTGTCCTTTAGGTCACTGTGGCTCCCGAGGCAGCAGCTGGCTGGAATGTAGCAACCTTAGCAGCCTCACCCTCCAAGCTCCCAAAGTGAAGATGTCCCACCAAGCTAGCAATGTTGTGACTGGGTGGTGTATAGCTGGCACTAAATGCCATTGCTGTTGTCACCATCCTCTAAAGGAAGGGTTATCTTTTCTTTTCGAGAGGTTCTTAAGTTAGGGTCTGAGCATATAGCTGAGGTTGGCCTCAAACTCAGGGCAATCCTCCTGCCTCAGCCTTGTGATTGCTGAGATTACAGGTGTAAATCACCAGACCTGGCTGTTATTCCTTTCATAGATAGATAAATGGAGACACAGAGAGCGACAGTGGAGGTTCCATAGCTTGTCACAAATGCAGCCGAGGTTCTAACAAGGGGTGGGAGTGCAGCAGAAGAGAAAGGTGTGGTTTGATTCGGTGTCTCCTGCAGCTCTGTCTGGCCTGGAACTCCCTGTGTCCTTGAACTTGATCCTCCTAATTCTATTTTCCAAGTGCTAGGATTACCGGTGTGCATCACCACACCTGACTGAAAGAGGGGCCTCTTCAGCGTTAAACTTGAAATGGACGATGAAACTGAGTGCGACGGTATGTACCTATACTGCCAGCACTCAGAAGGGAGGGGTAGGAGGCTAGATATTAACTTGAGACATAGCTGCATCCTGTTACAAAACACCAAAATCCAGGTGACCTTGATGTGCGTACCTTTAGTCCTAGCACTCAGGAGGCAAAGGCAGGTGGATCTCTGTGAGCTCAAGGCTAGCCTGCTCTACATAGTAAGACTATCAAAAAAACAAAAACAAAAACAAAAAACCAAACCTAAATGCCAAGCCAGAAAACAAGAGATGAATCATCAGGCCTCCAAGGAGAGGGATAATGGAGTCCCTTCCCCTTTACCATTGTGATGGCAGACTCCAAGTCCAGACTGTTCAGCTGGACGCAGAACTAAACTGGTGGCCGGCAGCTACAGTGATGTGTGGAAAGAACTGGTGATGCTGGGGAACCCTCTGAAAACAGCGTTGCACTGCCCAGCAGCGGATGCTGCCTTGCTTCTTCTTCAGACATCTAAGGATGTACTTTCTGCCTCCCTACCATGGACAGGGCCAAAGGGGGCCTTATGACAAGGTGGACACTGCCTGACCACAGAGAGGACAGCTCTCTTCATTCCCAGGCTAGCCCTAGCCAACCCCAGGTCACTCCCTCCAGAACCCCAGAGCACCCAACATTGTCCTTTGTGCAGTCCACGCTGTCCCTCCCTGCTCCATCTGCAGCAGCTGCACCAGACACTCATCTCTCGTTTCTGGTTTGGTGTTTGGGTTTTGTTTGTTTGTTTTTTTCCTTTTCTTTTAAGCGTGGGTCTCAACCACTAACAGTGTTGGGGGGCAATACAGTGGGTCTTTCCTTGACGACAGAATCCACTGACTCTGCCATGACCTACGCTGACATCATCTGCCTGGTCATGAAGAACATGGAGACTCGGAAGAGAAAGCTCAGGCGGCTGTATGAGCTGCACGAGAATGAGTGGACCTATTTTAACAACTACCTAACGGAGCTGCAGGAGAACTTCGAGAGGTAGGAGGGTGTGGGCGTGGACACTTGTCCACTGCAGCGGCCAGCAGGGTTTAGCTGCAGTGGGGTGGGGCTGCTAGCTTCCTCTCTACCTTCACTGAGTACAGTCAGCCTTCCTGTGCTCAGCCAGATGAGAAACAGCTCATTGACAGAGCCTAGCTCCTTTCTTTAGAATGTGTGTGTATGTGTGTGTTTCCCCACTGTGTGTGGTGGCTGTCAGTTGTAAGTCTAGCATTCAGGAAGGCTGAGGCAAAATTACCTCAAGTTCTGGATTACTGAGTAGGAGCCTATCTACACACACACACACACACCCGCATGAAGAAAAAGCTCTTTAGTTAAAGGCTGACATCACAGTGTATGTCTGTAATCTCAGCACTCAGAAAACTGAGGCAGAAGCATCCTAACTTGGATAGACCTGGCCTAGGATGTGCATATGGCTAGGAGAGGGTATCTCTCATGCTGTGTTCCCTTTGCTACTAAGCCTACGGCAGCAAGCCCAGAAATCCACCTGTCTTTGATCCGCAACTTATGAGTCTCTGGCACTCATTGATTGCCCAGCGAGTGCTTTTAACCACTGAGACTCCTCTCCAACCCTTGCCACCTAACTTCTGACACAGGGTCTCCTACTGAATCTGAGCGAGCTCCAGGGACCCTCCTGGCTCTGCCTCCCCAGCACTGGGATTGCAGGCACATCTCACCTACCACGTGGCTTTTACATGTATGCTGGAGATATGTTCATGCCCTAAGGCTTTCACAGCTAGCACCTTACCAAACAGGGTATGCCCCTAGTCCCCTGAATATCTAAATAGCAAATGGTGTTCTGCTTTGTTTTTTAAACGACGGCCAGAGCTGGAACGAAAGTGGCCATGTGGAAGATGACTCATAGGTGGGATAGGATGCTTTAGGGGCATCACTACTTGTTTCTCTACTAGAACACAGGTCCAGAGCATTGGCTCTGATGTTGGACAGACTCTGTCTTATTATCCATGCCAATTCATTTTATGTGTGTGTCTTGCATTTCTGCATGTATGTGTACCACCTTAATGCCTGGTGCCTACACAGAAGTCAAAAGAGGTTGTTGAATCTCCTGGAATTGGAATATTGATGGTTGTGAGCTGCCTGCCATGTGGGTGCTGAGTATTGGGTGTGGGTCTTCTCTAAGAGTATGCTGTGCTCTTAACTGCTGAGCCATAGCCATCGGTACAGCCCCTTGTGACAACATCTTAACTCACATAAGCATATACTAGTGGCTCTTTTGCTGACTTTGAATGCTCATAATGTGATCTTCATCCAGTAATTGTCTATTTGCATTTCAGAAGTCAACTGAGGGTTATCCAGTTGAGCAAAGCCATTATGTACCCTGTGAACACACTCTACAGAAAGCTTCCAGTAACAGCAGCTGCCAACACTTACTGAGCATTTCTTGTGTACCTGGCACTGTTGAACATTTGCCCTACAACAGCTTCCACCTCACCACAAATCTAGTGAGCTAGTAAAGTCATTTCCCCAGGGTCACACAGCAAGCCGCAGAGGTCCACTGGATCCAGCTTCCTTCTGAAACTATGCATATACCAGGCTCTTTTTGAGATGGTGGAGCCCTTCTCTCTTCTGTGGTTTCATTTTGTATCCATTCTAAAACTCCAGTGGTCTGTATGTGGGATGTGGTGATTCCTGTGTGGTTAACTGTTTCCTGGCAGACTAATGTAGATGTTTATCTGACAAGATTGCATTGCAGCCGGGCGGTGGTGGCACACATCTTTAATCCTAGCACTCAGGAGGCAGAAACCGAGTGATCACTGTGAGTTTGAGACCAGCCTGGGCTACAGAATGAGTTCCAGGACAGCCAAAGCTATACAGAGAAACCCTGTCTTGGAAAAGAAAAAGAGAGAGAGAGAGAGAGAGACAGAGAGAGAGAGAGACAGAGAGACAGAGAGAGAGAGAGAGAGAGAGAGAGAGAGAGAGAGAGAGAGAGAGAAGACCACATTGACTCTATAATTCTTTTCAATATATGTCTTTTGTCATCTTATCCCCCAGGGAGGTGAATATTATCAATCAAAAAGCAGCAGAAAGAAAAAGGGCCAGATATGCCTTTCTCTCACACTCCTTACTGTTTGATGACGTGTTTGACAAGAAATCCAAAGGAAACCCCCACCGAGAAACGGTGTTTCTCTCAAGGTTTGTTCAGGCAGAAGCCTTAGAAAATGTCCAGTGTGAATGATGGGAGAATTCTCACCAAGTGGAGCAGGTGTGCAGGTGCATGTCTGGGTCCAATGATGGGAGAATTCTCACTAGGTAGGGCAGGTGTGCAGGTACATGTCTGGGTCCAATGATGGGAGAATTTTCACCAGGTGGGGCAGGTGTGCAGGTGCATGTCTGGATCCAAAGGGCACCCACTGAGCTTTCCCCAGTCTTGTGTCTCAGAATAGAGAACTGGGCCCAGGGGTGGGTGGATTGTAATAGAGACAGTTTATTAAGGAAGGAAAAGGGCCAATTCTGAGGGTAGAGGTGGACTAGAGAGAGTCAGGAGCCTCAGACGTCACTTGAGGTCACTCACACAGTGCCACCTTCTTTGACCCAGGGTCCTGGGGCTCTTCTCCCACAAGCTCTGTTTTGTCACTGGTAGCCATGATCAGGAGGGTTTTCCAGTCTTTCTGCCAGCTGGCATCTCTCGCCTGCTCCTCTACCTGCTCACCACCTCTCCTGCCCCTCATCATTCATCACAATGCCTTTCTCCATCCCCACCTTCCTGCCACAGTTTTCTCTTGAGACCTGTGCTCCCAGAAGTTTTATGGGGATGTTAAGGGATTTAAAAGAAGTTAATTCTACGTGTATGTGACTGCATGCAGATGTATGTACCCCATTCATGCAGGAGCCCAAGATGTCAGAAGAAGATCAGAGACCCTAGAACAAGAGTTAGAGACAGTTGTGAGTGCTGGGAACTGAACCCAGGTCCTCTGGAAGAGCAGCCAGTGACCTTAATTGCTTCCCATCTCTCCAGCCCCAGTGGTCGGTCGTTTTACAGCTTCCATGGTTCTGTTGGTTGGAGATGAACCTTTGGAAGCCTACAGTAGGAGCGGGCTGCGATCTCTGTGTCAAAAAAGGTTTTGTTTGAATATATCCTGAAAGACATAAATTTTACAAAATGAAAGCTACAAAGTCTAAATAATAGTAACATGGTCACACTCACCCACGGCCTCAGCAAGGACGAGAGCCAGGAAAGCTGTGTACATGCTCACTCCCCGAGAGCCACTCATGTATAACTTGTTCCCTGAAATGTGAACCCCTGCACTGTTAAAAAAAATGTGCATGCCTTTAGTCCCAGCACTCGGAAGACAGAGGCAGGCGGGTCTGTGTGAGTTTGAGGCTACAGAGTGAGTTCCAGGACAGCCAGGGCTACATAGTGAGACCTTGTCTCAAAAACAACAACAACAACAAGAAAAAAAAATCCACACACAAAAAGCAAAAAACCAAAAAAAAAACCCCACAAAAACAATAAACACAAATAAACAGAAAACCACATACCGATGGTTATTTATTGAGAATGTGATAAAATACAAAATAATAATTGTAAGGGGGAATCCAGTGGTGGAAGAGATTAAGAAGAAAGGTAGTATGAGACAGCATCCTCATCTTATGGATGCAATATTTCCACCCTTCGCTGGGGTTAATCAGACATCCTCCACACACCCTACGCTTTTCTTCCGACCCAATGCGGCTTCCATCTCCCTGAGTCGTCTTTGCTGGTTTTACTCTTTGATCTTTGTTGTCTCTGTATTCCTGGTGACTTGGGCTGCCTTCATATTTCAGGAGGAAGCTCCAAAAAGCTCACAGGAGGTAGCCCTGATGGCTGGGGCTCCTCCCTTCTTGTGACAGGGAAGCAAGCCACCTGCCCAGGGAGGCCCTGAACATCATCAGCCTCTTTTCTCAGGACCATTCTGTGCTGGGGCGGGAAGAGCCTTTCTCTGTGGGCTGATGCTTGACTGACTGCTTTCTGGAAATGCTGTGGAGCGGGTGCTCTGCATTTAAATAACCCCCAATATTTCTGTATGGTCTTATGTCACCAACCTTCTTATTTTAGTGTCTCTAGGAAATAAAAACCTTTCATTCTTGTGACAGTTCAAATCGTTATATAAATTAGGATTGCAGCTAGATGTGCATCACAGAAAAAATAGAAAAGTCACAGTCTAGACGTTAAACCCTGGAAGTGGACAGTCTAGGCCTGGTGAGGGTTTCAGGACCTTCGGGAAACCAGAAGCCAGCCTGTCCCTTAGGGTTCCTCAGGGTCTCATGTGGCTGATGATGTTGCAGGCATTCAGTCTGTGTTCCAGGCCAACAACCCAAGAAGACTAATCTTACTTATTCTTAGCTTTCTTCCCAGAAGTCCCAGTTGTTTTCCCTGTATTCTCATTGGTAATATAAGAATATAACACTTTCCTCCTTACCACTTTAGGGCACAATTCAGTATTTCTGAAAGTCATTTTGAAATTTGATGATTTTGATGATTTGAATGACTCCTGTAATTTTAGCAATGAGCATCAGTGACCACAATCTGGTGTTGGACCCTAGAGTCCAATCACCGAGGAGGAGTCACCCCAAGAGACCATCTCTCATACCACAGCTGATGTAAAAGCATGAGGATTCTATTAATTCTGTCATGACAGGGTCTTTCAGCATTCGAGGAGCCAGAAAGACCCTTAATAGCTGGTATAGGATGCTTTTAAAGGAAAAAGCCACAGAAGCAAGGGGGTGTCTGGGGGTTGTTCTTTGACTATTATGATTGGCTTATTCAAAAGGGCTATTACCAATAATTGGCTGGAGAGTGGTTGCCAGATCAGATGAGGTAAGAGGAAACATCTGAGGGTCACTTTGCCCCTTTCCCAGGGACTGAATCAAAACACCAGGAACTGAGTCAACACCTAAGGGTTATCTTGCCCCTATTCAGGGAGATGGAAAGTTCCCAACATCTCAGTACGTGCATGTGTAGCTGTTATGTCCTTGGTTCCCGGGGGGGGGGGGAGCACAACTGCTGAGAGGCCTCAGACGTGGCTTCAAAATTGTCAGAAATGGCTTTAGAGTTATTTTTAGAGTTCTACACTAATTTTTAAACTTTTCCCTCATCTAGTGAAGCTCTGGTGGGTTCATTTCCAATAGATTCCCATTCCTTTCTGTGTTCTAGAAGGACCTTCCCTGGAAATACCATGATATTGCCACTTTATTTCAGGGGCCTGATAGTAGTCACATGGTACAAAGGAGCTTGGGAATTGTAATGTTAAAAATTGAGACTACTTCCATCCCCAAACTGGTTCCATTGGATTTAAATTTTTCTCTAAATTGAGAAAAGGCTATGACTTTTAAAGTTCCGGCAGCTTGGCAGTCGACTGTGGGGGTCGCAGGGAAGCATCACTAACAGCTCTAGCTTCTCAAGCATCTGAACTGTGCCTCAGTCTAACCCCCTCAGACCTGACTACCCTGTTTCTTCACCTGACTCTAAACCCAGCCCAGGCACCGTCTTCACTGACAGTGTTTCCTCAGAGCACGTCTTAGACAGCAGGGACAGCGCATCTACAGCCCAGTGTTGGGTGCTTGTACTCAAGGTCAGGATCCTGTTTCCAGAGTCCTGTTCAGTCTTGGCCCTCAAGCTGCTGCTGGAAGATTAATGAGGGGGAGTGGCCTTGTGTTGGCCTCTACTTCCTTTCCCTTCCCCAGCCTTGCCAGTTCGTGTAACTTCCCATGTGTTTCAAGGTGCCAGTGGAGTTGCCTCTGGAGAAACCACACTGAATTTCTGAGCTGGTTTTATTGACATCCATTTTGCTTCTGCACAGGAAGAAACAGAAAGAGGTGGCAGAGAAACAGAAGGTTTCCCAGTCCCCTTTCTCATTTCGAATTACCGTGGACAACTACTCCCTGGGCCTAAGAAGCCCCTGCAGAATCGGATCTGGTTCCAGTACCAGGTGAGGTGGGCCGGCAGTGGGAAGACGGGACTAGGAAGTCCCCACCCTCCAGCCCAGTTCCCTCAGGGGAACTCTATGCAGGTCCACTGGATCTTTTCAGACATTTTGCTTCCCCTCGCTGTTTGAAGTATTGTCATAATAGTGCTACATTGTCGGATGGAAATGACAGCTCCATTTACCAATGATTTACCCTGTGCTGAACATTAAGAAAATGAGCCCAGCGCAAACGTGACCTCATATGAAAGTTAAGCTTTCCTGAGGTAGGGACTAGTCACACACAGGTTACAAGCCTGCTTCCGTAGGCGCCTGTGGGAATCCAGCAGTAGGTCTCCACAGCCCCAGCTGACAAGCAGCTGGTGAAGGGCAGCAAATACATCAGCAAATTAAATGCCCATAGCACTGGGGAACCTGAGAAAATGGAGCAGGGCTCCAGGAGCCGTGCAGGAGTGATGTCACTGTCTGGCACAGGCAACAGAATTTCCTGGCAGAAGGAGGCAGGGATGTGAAAGAGGCAGCAGGTAGGAGAGCAGAGCCAGAGGTGGAGAAAAACTCAGATGGTAGGGACCACTGCATGGGAGGGGCAGAGCCAGGGGTGGAGAAAAGCTCGGGATGTGGTGTGTGTGTGTGTGTGTGTGTGTGTGTGTGTGTGTGTGTGTGTGCACTACATGGAAGGAGGTCCGGCAGGGTGTAAGTGGGACATCAGGGACTCGGAGGCTGTCTCTGGACTAGTGAGGTTTTTATGAAGTCTTTTATTTTCTGTTATGGAAACTGCTGGAAGATAGTCAGCAAGGGTATATAACTGATTAAATTTGGCTTTTCAGAAACTTAGTAGCAGGTATCGGGGAGACTTATAAAGGGCCCCACAAATCCTTGTCTGTACTTGGCACCTGTATATACCTTCCAATCAGAAATCCCTAGACTTTCTCAAGCTTGATTCAGAAAAATATTTCAGAAACTAGTTCTTGATAATATATTGCTAATTAAGAAACCATTTACAGCCTGGTGGTGGTGGCGCCTGCCTTTAATCCCAGCACTTAGGGGGCAGAAGCAGGCAGATATCTGTGAGTTCAAGGTCAGCTTGGTCTACAAGAGCTAGTTCCAGGACAGGCTCCAAAGCCACAGAGAAACCCTGTCTCGAAAAAAAGAAAGAAAGAAAGAAAGAAAGAAAGAAAGAAAGAAAGAAAGAAAGA